ACTTTGTGTGTGGTGTGTGTGTGTGTGTGTGTGTGTGTGTGTGTGTGTGTGTGTGTGTGTGTGTGTGTTGTCATCTGTATTCTTAAAGTAATTTCTCTTTAGATGGCTTCACTGAATCTTGGATTTATTATTATTTTTTTGGGGGGGGGGTCGGGTCGTGGGGCCTGAACTTTGGGCCTGAGCGCTATCCCTCAGCTCTTCAGCTCAAGGCTAGCGCTCTACCACTTGAGCCACAGCGCCATTTCCAGCTTTTTTCTTTTTCCTTATGTGGTGCTGAGGAATCAAACCCAGGGCCTCAGGCATGCAAGGCAAGCACTCTACCACTGAGCCACCTTCCCAGCCCGAATCTTGGATTTAGTAGTCATTATTCTCTTTACATCTGCCAGTTTGACTACAAACCCAGTATTCCCTTCTTTTAGTTTGTACCTAAATATTTCCAAAGTAGCTTCAAGTTAAGGAAGGATCTTTCCCTCACAATTCAGTTTGAAAAACTATCATCCTAGTCAGGACTGATGCAGTAATGGCCAATGGCATAGTCATTGGGTCAGTTGTACTGACTTACATTGGTCATTCTTAGTTATTACCACATTTCTGAAAATGCATTGCCCTGATGAAGAAGGTGGCCTCTGTGCACATGTGTAATTTCAAAGGAAAGGGGGTCTAGTTGGATCATGAAAAATCAGCACATTGAGAACAGTAATGAATAGTGTGTATTACAATTAAAACAACAAGGATTGAGTTTTGGAAAAGTAAAAGGAAATACTGTATCTAAACCATTGTATGTCCCCATTTATTCCTGATAAACTTCCTTTGCTTCTTCCCGACAAAGAGAAATTTGAGTGGATTTTTTGGAACCTTCTGTCTTTGACAGTCTGATTCTTTGAGTTTCTTGAGGTGTGGTGTCGTTTACACTTTGAAGTGATTCTCACTGCTGTCCCATGACACTGAGTTCAATATATTGTCCTAAGTTCCCAATGTCATTGGCATCCTGCTTGGCTTCACCAGAGTTTCCCTCTACAGCAGCAGCCCTGAGCAGGCAGAATGTTGCTATAGGATTCACAGTTCATCTCCATGGACAGTGCCTATCATAGGAGAATACTTTGTCCCAAAGAGTCTTTAAGTCAGCCTGTTTACAGAATGTTTTACATTTGTGTAACAGTTCAAGGGAATACTGTCTTACCTATACTTTTTATTATTAAATATAACGTTTAGGTCTCATTAAAAGATGATAGGGGAGAGAAGATAGATGAAAAAAACTGCTGAAAATTTATTATCAAAATAGAGTACTAAAATTTGTGTTTGCTACTAAATATAATATTCCTTAATCAGCTTGGTTAGGATTGAAAGTTATAATACCAAAATTAAAAAGTAAAGTATATTTAGAATAAATTACAGTTTTGTTTTAGATATTTTTTGTTTTAGCATGTTGATAGGTGACCATATGAGTGAAGAACAAATTTCATTGGTATGGTAGTTGTCCTAGTTTTGCCTTTGTATTTTAGTATCTAGCACAATATTCAGAATATTAATATGTATTGGCAAGAAGAAATATTCAGCTGACTAAGAAACCCCAAGTTATTGTAAAAATCACTTTTAGGTAATTTGTATTAAAACACACTTTGTGCAATTAGTTATTGTAGTGATCACAAGCATGTGTGTGCTACCATGTCTAGCTTCTCTCCTTTCATGGACTTTTCTGCACTGTCAGGCCTCACACTGAAATCCTTCTAATCTTATACCTCCATGTAACTTCAGATGACAGGTGTGTCCCGCTGTGTCCAGCTATGGATTGAGAATCAGGCTTGAGAAAACTTTTTTTGCCTGGGCTAGCCTTTTAACCAAATCTTCCTGTTCTTAGCTTCCTCAGGTCTCTAGGATTACAGATGTGAACTCCCAACTAACACTAACAACATTAATGTTAATTAACAGCTAACAACCTTTTTCCATTGAATATTTCATTATCTTCTTTATATCTTCTATGATACTCAGAAAATTTTTGATATCTTTATTAAAAAGGTGATTAGTCAGGGGGCGTTACAGTTACATAAGTAAGGAAATGAGTACATTAAAAAAAAATCATGGTTACCCAATCATTATCTCCTACTTATCCTTTGCTATTCCCTTCTCCCTGAAGTTGTAATGTTCATATCCAACATAATGTCAAGTGAGTATTGATGTTGCTTTGGTTCATCCTATGTCTTGCGTTTCTGTGATTCTCCTTCCCTTCCACATACTGAATTATCTTATATGGGAGACACAAGGTACACAAAACTAAGAGAAGCGAAAAAAAACTAAAACAATAGAGAAGAACAAACTATATACAGGGTCTAGTGAGAATTTCTTGTCTCCATATACTGAAGTTTATGTTGATAAACTTCATTATATATGGTCTTATGCACTAAGCAGTGGAGTTACTGAGAATCTCTTGTTAATATCAGACATATTCTAGTTTTTACAAGGGAAATCACGCAACCTACTTTTCTTTGGGTCTAGCTTACTTCTCATTGTGTGTGTGTGTGTGTGTCATTTTTTTTAACCAAGACTTTCGATTTCCTTACAAATGGAAGCTGTGTTATTTCTTTCTAATGGAAGCACAGAATTCCATTATGTGTAAATACCACATTTTGTCAATCCATAAATCTACTGAGGGGCATCTGGGTTGGTTCCATATGCTAGCTATGGTAAATAATGCTGCAGTGAACATCGTCATGATGGTAGCTTTACTATAGTCTTGTTTATGGTCATTTGGGTAAATGCCCAGAAGTGGGATTGCTGGGTCCTAGGGGAGCTCTATGTTTAGTCTTTTGGGAAACCTCCACACTGCTTTCCAGAGTGGTTGAACAAGTTTGCACTCTCACCAACAGTGCAGTATCATTCCCCTTTTGCCACATCCCCGCCAGCATCTGTTAATAGATTTCTTTATCACTTGAGCCACAGTGCCACTTCCAGTTTTCTGGTGGTTAATTGGAGATAACAATCTCATGGACTTTCCTGCCCAGGCTGGCTTTGAACCATGATCCTAAGATCTCAGCCTCCTGAGTAGCTAGGATTTACAGATGTGAGCAACCTGCCTGCAGCTAGATTTCTTGATTATGGCCATTGTAAGATGGAATCTCAATGTTGTTTTTATTTGCATTTCTTTTATAGCCAGAGATGTTGAGTGATTCTTCATGTGTCTCAGCCATTTGTATTTCCTCTTCAGAGAGATCTCTCTTAAAGCCTTTAGCCCACATTTATTTATTTATTTATTTATTTATTTATTTATTTATTTATTTATTTATTTATTTATTTATTGAGGTTTGTTGTGGGGTTTGAACTCTGGGCCTGCTATTCCTCAGCTTTTCAACTCAAGGCTAACATTCTACCAGTTGAACCACAGTGCTACTTTTGGTTTTCTGGTGGTTAATTGGACTTTCTTGCCTGGGCTAGCTTTGAACTGCGATCTTCAGATCTCAGCCTCCTGAGTAGTTAGGATTATAGGCATGAGCCACCAGATCCTGGCGTTTAGCCCACTTTTTAATGAGGTGGTGGTTTCTTTGGGCATTTGTTTTGGGGGAATTTAATTTCTTGAGCTGTAGGTATATTTTCAGTATGGGGCCCTTATCTATTGTATGGCTAGTGAAGATCTTTTCCCAATCTGTAGGTTTCGATATATCTTGCTAGCTATGTCATTCACCATGCAGAAGCTCTGTAGTTTAATGCAGTCCCATTTATCCTTTTGATAGGTTTTTTTAAATGGTAAAGTTATGTTTATTTTTCATGCTACTGGAGATTTAAGTCTATGAGGTAAGAACATAAGTATAAGTAAGTATGAAGTAGAGTATTAACTTGCCTTGAACTTAAAACTAGTTAAATTTGGTAGGCCCTATGTATGTAAGTAATTAGAACAAATCAAGTTAGGCAGTTGCATTTTTTTTTTTTAAGAGAATGATCCTATTACTTCTTACAGATAGATGATTAATTTCTTTCAATATAGAAAGTTTATGTACAAAGACACTTTTCTGGTTTTGGTTTCGGTGGTGTTTTTTAATGTCTCTAAAGAAAAGTGTTTTGTTTTTTTCAGCTAGAATTTTTGTTAGGAAATGAATCCAGGTTTTATTTTCTTGAGACCTAGTCAGAGAAAACATGCGCAACAAAAATGAAAATATTAACACAGAGGATATCTCAAGTATAATTATCCTACTGCTTACTAAGATTAAATAATTTACTTGAATCATTTTTCTTGTCATTTTCACTGTGCAATTGCTCAGTTGGAGATAGTTACAAGACACATACATTACTGTTGAGCATTAGCCTAAAGGTGTTCCTATATTATGACATCTGCTTTCTTGGGCATTTTTGTTTGACTGAAAGTGAGACAAGTCACAATTTTGTTAATATTGTTTAGATGATCATGTTACTAAGGCTAGTATGTTCTTACAGCTCAGCAGTAAAGTTATGAAAAATTGCCTTTTGCAGTTTAAGATTGTATTCCCTTTTTGTAATCTGAAATCTTTTTTCATCCTTATTCCTTCCTGCTGTTTCCTGCAGTTAGTAGTTAAGTTTTATTCCCCTGCCCCGCCCCCCCCCCCTCCCCCCCCCCCCCAAATCCTATATTTTATTACTTCTTCTTGAATTAACCTATAGAGAGTCACTTATATGTTAAAGCTACACAGTAGCTTTATCCATCAGGGTAAATTCCAAGATCCCCCAGTGAGTGCCTGGAACCTGGGTAGTATAGGCCACTAGAATGTTACTGTTTCTAACCTATACATACATCATACCTATGATAAAGCTTAATTTGTAAATTGATACAGGAAGAGATTAGCAACAGCAATGAATTTAGAAAATTGTACAGTTATAATGATACACTGTTGTAAAAGTTACTTAAAATTTATGAATTTTTACTTCTGTAATTTTGCATCTAAAGTTTTGGATCAGGATTGACTGTACCTAACACAGCTGAAGGAAAACATGGAAAGGAAGGACTGTGGTTCTAATTCAGTACCCTCATTTTACAGATGAGGAAACTGAGACCTTTGACTATAACAGAGGTCTCCTGACTCAGTCCAGGACTCTTTGTATTACGTCATGCTGCTTGATGTTTGTCTTTACGGAACTCAGCAACATCATATACAGGGTGAGCTTTTTAAAAATTGTTTTATATAAATGAGCAAACAAAGTGATTGGCTATTCCTTCATCTGCGGTTGTTTATCATGCCTAACTCATTTCCTTTTTTTTTTTTTAAACCCATATCTGTTTTATTATACAGACTAATTGGTTATGCCTCCCAGAGTGCTAAAAGCTCTGGGCTAGTGCCTCAACATTGTCAGAGGGGAAAAAAATCTTAACCATATTATATACATTTTAAGTACAAAATTTGGTGCTCCTCCTTCTTAGCATTTGATTGTCATTTTTAAGGTTTAACTCTTAGTGAGATGATTTATTATCAATGACTTCTGCAAACTAAGCACTAAAGCAACAGTAGATTACAATTTTATGAGTTAGATGTTAAAGTTAGATTTAGATTTATAAAATGAATTACGAGTGTGAATGAAATCTCAGATGAGATGTGAGAGAAAAACCGTTAGTGAGTGAAACACCAAAATACGAAGAAATATCAGCCAACAATGTTGGCAATAAAAATATCCTATCCTGTGAATTTAAACATTTAAGGTTGAATATTTTTCCTGTATTAATGCTTAAATTGGCCTCAGGTTTGTGTCTTTGTCCTCTTGATACAACATTAGTTTTGGTTAGCTTGCCTGTTTTCTTATTTGACAAGAAATTATAGTCAGTATTATTACAGTGATACTTGACTTCAAGAGTAACTCAAAGACCTTTTCAAGTTCTGTCTGACGGATTAATTTCTTGGACAGAGGCCTGCCACTACAGTCACATAAGCTGTTTAATAATACACTGTGTTAAAACTATATGAAGTGTTTGGAACTTTTTAAACGATTTGGTATTAGTATTATTACTCACCAGCCTGTGTAAAATGTCATATCTATCTACAAGTTAACTAATTAGTCAGATCTAACAATACTATATTAGTGCAATTTTCTTGGAATAATATCTAAGAGGAGAAGAGGTATAAATGTATGTTGATTTATTTTGATCATGGCAAAATTATACATAAATTTACCTTGGATTATTTTTATTATGCTGGAGTACAAGCTCTACATATTAAAGCTTACAAAGATTTTTAAAAAACATTTGAATAGCTACTGAATGTTAGGTTACTTTATACCCTGCTGCTTCTGCTGGAGATTAAAAGGAGTGCTTAGAATAAGCGCAACAGACTGCTCTTTATAATTTAGTTTATAATTTAGCAGTGGAAAAATGCATAATAAAGGTGACTTAAAAGTGTTAATGTTTAATAGATAATGCCTTGCTTTTTCAGGCATTCTTGCCTGTGAGTAATGTAGGTTACAATTTATTTCTATTTTACAAATGAAGAAATAGGCTCAGGAAAGTTAAAATGACAACTTTGTTGTCAAGAGCCATCATGTTTAAAAGAAAACATCAATACTTCCAATTTCTTGTGTAATAATCTCTCCCTTTCCACCCCCCTGCCCCCCAAAATGTGAGGCTTTGAACCCAGGGCTTGGGCACTGTCTGAGCTTTTCTGCTCAGGGTTAGAGCTCTGCTCTACTACTTTGAGCAACAGCTCCACTTCCAGTTTTTGGGTGGTTAATTAGAGGTAGGAGTCTCATGGATTTTCCTGCCAGACTTCCTTGGAACCACCATCCTAAATCTTTGACTTCTGAGTATCTAGGATTATAGGCATGAGCCACCAACACCCAGCTAATCTTTTTTTGCTAGGTTTTTTTTTGGGGGAGGGCTCGGTCATGGGGCTTGAACCCTGGGCGTGAGCACTGTCCTTCAGCTCAAGGCTCAAGGCTAGCGCTCTACCACTTGAGCTATAGTGCCACTTACGGTTTTCTGGTGGTTTATTGGCGATAAGAGCACCACATAAACAAAAAGAAAAAAAGCGGGAAGTGGCGCTGTGGCTCAAGTGGTAGAGCGCTATCCTTGAGCTGAAGAGCTGAGGGACAGCGCCCACGCCCAGAGTTCAGGCCTCATGCCCAGACACCCCCCCCCCCCCCCAAAAAAAAAAAAAAAAGAAAAGAAAGAAAAGAAATGACATTTGGAAAACAAGCATTTCAATAATAATCTGTCCTTCAGCTCAAGGCTCAAGGATAGCGCTCTACCACTTGAGCTATAGTGCCACTTACAGTTTTCTGGTGGTTTATTGGAGATAAGAGCTCCACAGACTTTCCTGCCTGGGCTGGCTTTGAACCACAATCCTCAGATCTCAGTGTCCTAAGTAGCTAGGATTATAGGTGTGAGCCACCAGCGCCTGGCTTTTTTGCTAGTTTTGAGAATAATACAATGTTTTAGTAGCACAGGAGAAAATTATCCAACGTCTTCAATGGTGGTATTTGGATTGGAATCATAAAAGAAATGACATTTGGATGGGGCTGGGAAGGTGGCTCAGTGGTAGAGAGCTTGCCTTGCATGCCTGAGGCCCTGGGTTCGATTCCTCAGCACCACATAAACAAAAAGAAAAAAAGCCGGAAGTCGCGCTGTGGCTCAAGTGGTAGAGCGCTAGCCTTGAGCTGAAGAGCTGAGGGACAGCGCCCAGGCCCAGAGTTCAGGCCTCACGACCAGACACCCCCCCCCCCCCCCCAAAAAAAAAAAAAAAAAAAAAAGATGACATTTGGAAAACAAGCATTTCAATAATAATCTGAACATGATAGTGGAAATTATCTGGACATGCTAGAATTATATCAGTATATTCACTGATGTAGAGTCCATTTAAATAGGATACCATAGAGACTTTGAGACCACAGATGGAGAACTTGAAAGATTCTGTCTAAAGGGTTTAGAGGAAAAGTGTAAGCAAACAGATATGTATCTGCAAACACATTGGCAAAACCAGAGTTACATTTTATGCCTGGGTATCAGGAAGAGATCTAGGAGACTCTTGAGGCTGTTGTAGTTAATATACATGACTGAAAAAAGGACAATACACTGCAATCTAACTCTAAAGTTGAAACCCTGCTGAGACAAGAAGAGAAGAGAAACAAATTGAAGAATTTAAAGCACACGTTGCAAGTGATGCTGAGTTGCATAAATAGTGTAACAGTTAACTTGAAATTTTGATTTTGGAGTTGGAAAGGTCATACATAGAGTAGGCCCAGGTAGAATTATTTTTAGACATCTCCATCCTCCATATCTACAAGTTCTGCAGCTCTGAATTGAACCTATCTTGGATGGAAAATCCAAGAACATTCTTAAGAAATGTTTGCGCTGCATATTTTCAGATATTCACCCAACAATATGATATAGCAAATTACTTAGTATGATATAGCAAATTACTTAGTGTAACATGCCTAGATATTACAAGTAATTGAAACATGGTTTAAGTGTACAGGAGGTATGCTTCACTTAGATATGAATGCTATGATACCATTTTATATAAAGGACTTAAGCATCTAGATGTTGGCATTTATGGTAGTTCTGGAATCAATCCCTCCTGGATATTGAGGGATAGATTCTAGAACTACCATAAATGGAAAACTATATTCTCAAATGTCTGTGTTAGCCTGGCCACTATGTTTTTTCCTCTCTCTACTTGCTGATTTGCTGAGGAGCTGGGATTACAGATGTGCTCCCTACTTCAATCTTGACTATACTTCTGTTTCTTTCTTCTTTTCTTTTTTGGTGCCAATCCTGGGGCTTAACAACTCAGGGTTGGGGCACTCTTCCTGAGCTTTTTGGCTCAAAGTTAGGCCTCTACTATTTGAGTCACAGTTCCACTTCCAGCTTTTCTATTTGTTTTTGCTTTTGTTTTCTCTCCATGTCAATATCATTTTCAATGACTATAAACGTCATTTATTTTGATTCTCTCTCTTTCTCTCCCTCTCCCTCTCTCCCTATCCTCCCTCTCTCCCTCCCCCCCTCTGTTTCTCTGTCTCTCTGTCTCTGTCTCTCTCTCTCTCTCTGTCTCTCTCTCTCTCTCTCTCCTCCCTACCTCCCCTCTCCCCCTCGGTTGTGGGGCTGAACTCTGGGCTTGGGTGCAGTCCCTCAGCTTTTCAGCACAAGGCTAGTGCTCTACCACTGAGCCAACTTCCTAGCCCAATATTTTCTTTTTAAAGGGCATATATACCCACACTAAAGAAAAGCCGTGTTTCTAAAATAAACATTTTTACAAACTGCTTTTATATGTCTATAACTTTTTTTTTTTTTTTTTTTTGGTCATGGGGCTTCAACTCTGGGCCTGGCCCTGTCCCTCAGCTCTTCAGTTCAAGGCAAGCACTCTACCACTTGAGCCACAGCACCACTTCTGGTTTTCTGGTGTTTTTATATGTCTATAACTTTTTTTTTTTTTTTTGGTCATGGGGCTTCAACTCTGGGCCTAGCCCCGTCCCTCAGCTCTTCAATTCAAGGCAAGCACTCTACCACTTCTGGTTTTCTGGTGTTTATTGGAGATAAGAGTCTCATGTACTTCTCTGCCTGAGCTGGCTTTGAACCATGATTCTCCGATCTCAGCCTCCTGCACAGCTAAGATTTCAGGCATGAGCCACCGGCGCTTGGCTATGTCTATGACTTTTAATGTATATTGCAACTGACGATTAAAAAGAAGTCAATATTGGGTCTAATGGTTTTAATTAAAATAAAGTTTGAATGGATTATTTTCCTACAACCCCCTGCTCCCCTGGCCTGGATTTCAAGCTAAGTATCTTTTTCTTAGCTTTTTCTCATTGGCTGATGCTCTACCTGAGCCATGCCACCAACAAAAATTTACTTCTAACATATGAGAGTAACCTGTAAGATATTGTAAGTTTTCAATATTTTATCACTTTTAATCTTATTTATTTATTTAAAACATTTTATTATCATTAAGTAGTTACACATAGGGTTTTCAATTCAGCTTGCCAGTTTATGGGCACAGTGCATCTTGATGAATGCCACTCCTTCCATGATTCTCACCCGTCTCCCCAACCATACTCAACTCAATTTTTTTGGTTCCATTTTCATATATATACACTGAATATTACTACTTTTATTATTATTATTATTATTTTTTTTTAAAATTTTATTTTATTTGAGAACATACTGTACAGAGGGGT